AAATTATTTATTTGAAAGAGGAGAGGGAGCACAAGCAAAGAGCGGGAGGGGGTGAGGGAGGGGAGGGGCAGTGGGAGAGGGAGCAGCGGGAGCCCAAGGCGAGGCTCCATCCCAGGACCCCAGGATCATGACCTCAGGCAGACGCTTAACTGCCTGAGCCACCCAGGTGCCCCTGGATTTTTTGTTTTGTTTTGTTTTTTCTAATTTCTTTTTTAAGATTTTATTTATTTATTTGACAGACAGAGATCACAAGTAGGCAGAGAAGCAGGCAGAGAGAGAGAGGAGGAAGCAGGCTCCCCGCTGGGCAGAGAGCCTGATGCAGGGCTCGATCCCACGACCCTGGGATCATGACCTGAGCCGAAGGCAGAGGCTTTAACCCACTGAGCCACCCAGGCGCCCCTGGATTTTGGTTTTTTAAGCACCATATTTTGTCGCGTCTATAAGTGCAGGATGCTGACAGTCCCGCTCGGTGTAGCCTGAACCCCTCTTGCTCTCCCAGAAGGCAGATGCCCCATCTCCAGAGGCTCTCAGCTTCACTCGGCCTCCTTAGCACCTGACTCAGAGGGGCTTGGCTAGGCTGGAGGGAGGGGACCTCTGGCTGGCCGGAGCCAAGAACCTGGGGCCGGTGGACCCCACACTGCTGGGAAGGGCCCTGAGCCACCTCACCGGGAGTCGCCCCGGCGGGTGGTCCCCGCTCGGCTCCGGTACAGGGTGCCTGTCCTGCTCAGGGCTTTCCCCAAGCCCAGGCCGGAAAAACCGAGGCAGTGAGGGCGGAAGAGCAACCTCTACCCCGAGACCCGGGCTAAACTCCAGGTGCTTGGGGCTCTGGTCCGCTCAGGGGCTTGCCCACTGCCACGCCCCCCGGGGCCCTCCCACACCCGCTCCCCAGGATCAGCCCTTCCATGCCTGCCCGAGGGAGTGACGGCTCAGTCCACGTGAACTGGAGTTCTCTGGGTTGGACTGGACAACTCAGTCCACATTCCGCACATGCGGGTGAGGGAATTAACTGTTGTAGGAGCAACAGCCCGAGGTGAGGTTCGGGTGCAGGACTGGGCCGGGTGCTCCTAGCAAGACGGTAGAGGTGGGTGATGGCTGCAGGCAGAGGAGAGGAAGAGGGCAGCTGAGGAGCCTGGGGTTGGCCAAAGGTGAGACTGTTTTGCTTTTTGGCCCGTTGCCCCCGGAAGCTGGCACCAGGCCTGAGTGACTTGTAACCGAAAAGATGTCAGAGGTTGGCAGCTGCGCCCCACCCAACATCTGGGTGAGGGCGAGGTGTGGTCACTGGACCGGCCGGGAGTGAAGTTAATTGGCCTCCCCAGGTGCCAGAGGTCCAATGACCCCTCTCGCCTGCCTCTGCTTTTCCTACCAACCTTTGCTCAGGCCAGGATCTCCCTCTCCTCCGCTGCCTGTTTCAGCCCCTCCTGCCCACCCGAGTTGGGCTCTGAACTCAGCTCGCACTGACTCCTGGTGAAGCCTAACCACCGCCCCTTGCCCTCCTCTGAGCTCATCCCCACAGCAACTCCCCTCGGGATTTTGGGGGCGCCTAGCATGTATTGCCTTGGGTTTGCTTTCAAGCCTCTGCAAGGTAACTTGAATAATGGGACCTTTTTAGAAACCCAAATTCACCAGGTTTGACATCTCAGATGAGTGTGGGTGGCCCCGTGCAAGCTTATACCCATTTCATTTGTTTTTATTTTGCAGAGCATTTTAGGGGCTCTTAGGTAATGCTGAACTCAGGACGTGCGCAAAGAAGTCTTATTTCCATAACTTGGCCCTAAGATGACTCTGTCAGTGAAAAACGTAAGGGAGAATTTGCTTATAAGGGAGATCAGTCACCTGAAGAAGTGAGTCACCTAAGCCCTGTAAATGTCGGAGGACCTTTGCGGAACTCCTGGCCAATGAAGGGCTCAGGGGCTTTAGCCGCAGGCAGGTTAGGGTGAACCCCAGGAATCCGTATTTCGAACTAGTAACCCATCAAACTTGACACAGGAGGTGCCGATCACCCCCGAGGAGATTGGGGTCCTCTCTGAGAGGTGTGGCTGTCAGGCAATGGACAGAACTGAGAAAGCTGGACACTGAAGGAAGGAAGGGAGCTCTGAGAGGTGGGGTGCCGGGTGCCCTCATGCATCGTGGATGGGAATGAAAAATGGTGCAGCCGCTGTGGAAATCAGTCAGATGGTCCTTCCAAACTGAGACGTAGACATTTCTACACGACCCAGCAATTCCCCTCCTAGGTGCATCTACTCGAAGAAACAGAAAACAGGGTCGTAAATAAATCCACACCCATGTGTTTGCAGCAGTGCTGCTCTCAGTGGTCGAAAGGTGGAAATAAACCATAAACTGAGTGTCACTGACGGAAGAATGGATAAACAAGACGTGGTCCAGCCGTGCCCTGCATATCGTTCAGCCGTAAACAGGAAGCACTATTATAACAGGGCTACGGCGCGGATGTACCCCGAAAACATTGTTCTTGGTGAAAGCAACCAGACACAAAAGGGGATCTGTGTCTGTGATCCCATAAACCCATAGAGACCGCAAGAAGAGTGCTGGGTTGCCAGGGGCTGGCGGCGGGGGCGGGGCGCTGGGAGTAACTACTTAATGTGCACAAGATTTTCTTTTGGGGTGATGAAAATGTTTTTTTGGTTGTTGCTAACATTGCAAGTGTACTAAATGCAACTGAATTGTTTATTTTAAAATGACTGATTGTATGTTCTGTGAATTTCACCCCAATATAAGAAAAAGGTGGAGGGAGGCAAGTGCCCAGAATCAAGGAGGCAGCAGGGTTCTCCAGCACCAGCTCTGCCTGGGGAAAAAGGGTCTCATGGTTCACTGGGAACTGAAACCCGATAATGGCGTGCTTCTAAACACATGCACATTCTCCGTGGAAAATGTATGCCTTTTATTGACATTAGAGGACTGGGTTCTTGGACAGATGCTAAGTGAGTGGAAAGACACAGAGGCTGGGTGACGGTGATCTGGTTTAGCCCACCCAGGCCTTACAGCCACACTTTGTTTCCGAACCCAAACCGTGTTATCCATCCACGATCTGCCCTAAACTGTGAGCTTAGATTACAACTCGGCTTTGTTTCTCTTGCCTCTGACCCTCCCCAGCCTAATTTACCACTTTGCAAGTTGTTGACAATTTTTCAGTTGATTTAATTTAAATATAAGCGGGGCCGGATGGGAGGAATGCTGGGAAGATGGGTCGGAGGGCTCGCCAGGGTCGGATGATGGTCTTTTCTTGCACATGTGCTGCTTACGCAGATATGGTCATTTTCAAAAGTCTGTTACGCTGTATACTCATGATCTGAGAACTTTTCTGCATGTATATTGTACTTCAAGCAAAAAAGAAAATGAAAATAAGGCAATGTACTAAGATACTTATACAAAGATGCTTTTCTCAAACTTATTAAAAACTGGAAATAGCCTGCATGCATAAAAGTAAAGGACTGGTAAACTAACTTCTAATACATCTATAAAATAGAGTGTTACACAGTCATTAGAAATGTTGACAAAGATGCGTATTTATTCACTTGGAGGTGGTAAGTAAACAATATGAAATAAGTTAGAAAAGAAGGTATATTCCAAAATATTAAAAGTGATCATCTCTGGGCAGAATACTGGTATTCATAAAATTAACTAATCCGAGGAGCTTATTAGGTACAAATTCCTGAGCCCCCAACACTCAATTCCCTTTCGGTCTCCCCCCTCAACGCCAACCACACATACCTACCCAGGCTAACTGTGCTGCATAGCCTGGTTCCGACCTTGCACCCCTTTGAGAATCTGATATAAACTGCGGATCCTCTCTCCTAAAAACCAAATGGACACACCAAATCTTGGCTGTAACTTCCAGGTGGAAGGAGGTCATCCAAGACTCCAGTTAAGAACCTCTAATGTAGAATGTCAGAGATCAACCATTTCTTCATTTTCCTCTTGTTCTTTTTTTTTTTTTTTCCCTTAGAAGACCCCTTGCTCCCAGCTCCCTAAAGGTGAGAACCTGTGCCAAATGGCACAACTCCTTGGGCCATTGCCAAGGTCAGTGCACATCCCTTTAGTATGTTTTTGTCGGGACCTCTGGTGCCATCCAGAGGGGGTCCGCAAGCAGCGGGTTGGTCGGCCACAGTGGTGGCCCTGAGGCCTGCTGGAGAACTTGACAGTGCTGCTCACTCTCTCTTCCTGCATCCTCACTGTGCCCTTGCAGGACAGGACTTGGGGTGCAGCCTCTACTCCCACCTCTCTGCTTCTGGTCCCGAGAGGGCAAGCCGCCTAGCGGGCACATGAGTCTGACGAAGCTAGCCCCAAAGTTCTGATGACCCGTCTTGTAAACGTCAACACCAGAAGTCCCTCCGTTTATGCAGATCTCGGTCCCTACAACTAGAGGGGAAACATTCCCTACAATATAAACGGGAATAGGGTCAAAGCCGCAGCTTACATGTTTTAAGGACCCCAAGAATATTTTATTAACAGATCGTATGAGGAGATCTCTCTTGTGTGTCCCTCTAAAAGTCATGGACTGCTCGGGCAGTGGATGGTTCTATGGCTTTGAAGAGGAAAAAGGCCAACTGGAAGTGTCCGGCCTGTTCGGCCCGGAGAGGAGTGGGTAGCACGACACACGGCCTCGGCCACCAGGTGGCGTCCCTGGCCGGCCTGGAAGTGCAGCTCAGCCCAGGAAGCCGAACGCCTCTGCCCTTCCCCTCTTCCTTCAGGCTGGATAGGGCCCCATTCCACGGGCACACCAATTCCTCAAGAGGACTCGTGCCCCAACACCTGTGAGCACGAGGGTTGTAGGGCTGCCGCTGCCCTCCTCTAACACCTGCGTCCGTCCCCGGCCCTACCCAGAGGGGCGCCTTGCTTCCCCGTCCCTGGTCACTGCTCCTGCCCTCCTCTTCTTCGTCTCCTCTTGGCCTCAGAGCCCAGCTGCCAGGCAGGATGAACCAGGGCACCACGGCACAAGGCACCAGAGTTTTCTTAGCCCTGGCATAATAAAAAGAAAACCCAAACACTTTTCTTTCTTTTAATACCTAAGAGTAAAAATATAAAAAATCCCAAACCCAACAACGCAAACCATCCATTTGAATGTTGTGCCATGCCTGGTCTCAGGTCTCCTTTCCAGGGCTGTTCTGAAGGAGCAGCACCTGCTGGGCCCTGGGTCCTGGGGAGGCCCTGGGGTAGCCAGAAGCCATCCTGGCCTTTATCCTGCACCTGTGACACCCAGGACCCAGCGTTTCAGAAAGGCCACCAGGAACTGTTTTTTAAAAATGTGGATACAACTAGGAAGAAGTTTTCCCTTGAAGCTGAGCTGAAGGTTATTTCTTGTGGAGAAACTTCATTTTATTGCCTAAAAAAAAAGAAAATGAGAACATGTCACCAGGCAGACAAAAGTGAAACTTTGCCCTTTCTATCCCGGACCTGGCGGGGGGCTGGGGGGACTGTTGCCTCCCACGCCACCCCTGGAGCCTCTCCTCACGCAACCTCCCCAATGCAGGGGATCGTCCCCAGACATGGGGAGCTTTGAAAGGAAGAATGTCAGAGCTGTAGAGGAGCATTTGCTCTGGAACAGGTGACACAGGGAGCACGGAATGGAACATGTCCTGCTTCCTAAGCTCGATTCCCCAGAAGAGCGTGGGAGAGAAGGACTGCCCAGGGGCCAGTGAGGCAAGGAGGGTTCCCCTGGGGCCAACTCAGAGCAGGAGCTTGCAAGGCCACAGAGCAGGGAGCTCTGCATTGTCTGGGCCCCGTGGAGGGAACCCGCCAAGACTGGGGGGACCAGAGGCTGGTGATGGGGACAGAGACCACTGGGCCTTACCGAGTCCCTTCAGGAACTTATTGACACCACTGTGTTCTCCACTGGGGAGTGTTTCCAGGTACTCTTGGGCTCGGACCTCAAACAAACCTGTTGGCAAGAGAAATCCCAGCCATTTTAGTTCCTTCTCACGCGCCCTCTCTTCTAAACAGAGCCATTTCCTTACTGCCATAAAAAGGAAACCTTGCTTCTGAGATGAGCTGCTCCTCTACACAGGCTCTGAATCCTGAGCTGTAGAAGGGGTTTTATTGGCCTTATAATTGCCCAGCCTTGTGCAGTAACTGTTCTGGAAGGCTCTAAAGCTAGCTCCTACATGAAATCCTATTTTATTCAACAAACACCTTCCAAGTGTCTATACTGTGCCAGGCACTCGGTTTCAAAGATGGACTAGACAGCCTTGGCTTTCAGGACTCCTGTCGTCTCCCTTTTCCTCATGTTCTCCCCTAAGAGGGGAAAACTGGCCAAGTGGTTTAGCTTCCTGGGAAACCGTCTGCCATCTGTGGGCCCGGACAGGGCACCCTGCAGGCGCCTTCTCCTCTAGCCCCAGGCGTGAGGCTCCGGCATTGTCTTCCTTTTTCACGGATCTTCCCTGGACCTCCAGGACGCCTTCCACGCTACTTTTAAGCTTTTGTGTCTCGACCTTTCTACCAAGTAGTGATCTGTAAGCAGATATTCTGGTAAGCAGCGCTTCTACTTCAAGGAAGCCTGTCATCAGGAGCGTGACTCAGACTCTAATCAATTTCCTTTTGTCTCTTCAGATCCTGCTCCTCAGAATACCTCAGGTGTGGCCAGCCCCTGTCTCGTCTTTGCAAAGAGCTACAGGAACGGGGGGGGGGGGCAGGGGGGGCTTTGGTTCCTTCACCCAGGCTCGGCCATCACAGCACCCGAGGACAGGGGGGCCTGGGGCTGGAGGCTGTCCTGGGACCCTTGCTGCCTCCGCTGTTCACTGCACTGGCTTCTCCTTGGTGGCGTGTCTCCCCCACCCAGGTCTGATTCCCATCAGTGACAGTCTGCACCAACATTTCTAGCTTTCCGATTCCCAGAAGGACTTAAGATGATGCGAGAAACAGAGGGGGGTGATTCGATCCTCCCTCACATACTCCCCCTCCTCAGCCCTGGAAGGGGGATGAAGTCCAGCCAGAGGGGACAGGAAAAGGGAGGAGAGTGAGTGCAGGCGGGCAGGCTCATGGCGAGAGGACCGCCAGCTCCCCAGGCTGAGGAGTCTTTGCTGTGCTACCTCCAGTGCTGCTGAAAGCGAGGAGGCGCTCACACCAAGTGGGGGCACAGCCATCCTCTCTGCCCCTGCCCGCTGGTGCCACACCCTGCGGAGACAGGCAGGAAAGAAGGGCAGAAGGGAGGAGAGGCCTGAGGAAAAGGAGAGGAGGGGCCAGCGAGGGACAGGAGAGCACGCTCTTGAGAGTTTCATCGAGTTGGCAAGATAGAACACAAGGAGAACCTGCCACCAGAACCTGGAATGTGGTTCCGGGAGAGGCTGGGAGCGGGGAAGGAAATGGCAGAGAAGACAGGCGGGACCCAGGGGCAGGGTGACCAGCTCTGAGGCAGCGGGACGGAGCCTCCTCCGGGCAGACTGCGCTGCTGCTCCCACCTGCGCCCAGGCCCCATGACCTTCCTCCCTGCTCGCTGCCTCTGCGGCCTGGGCGTCTCTAGCTGGCTCGGCCCCCGACGCGGAAGGTGCCCCCTCACCTTTGGCATCCTGCCGGCGCAGCTCCCGCTCCTGGATGAAGCCCCGAAAGGTCTGGGTCTCCATGAAAACCTCCAGGAAGCGGCGGAGGCTCTTGGAGGAGACGGCTTTGCGGAAGGCCTCTCGATGCAGGGTCCTCTCCTCGCGCTCGCCCGCCGTCAGGAACAGGGAGTAGTGGCCCACGATCTCCACGAAGAAGCGGACAAAGGCTTCGGACACCACCTCGTTCAAGGGGCTGGACTCGGGGCCTAAGAAAAGTGGGGAAGGGTGGGAGCCAGTGAGGGCGGGGGCAGAGGCAGAGCCTGAGTCAGTCCCAGGGGCACAGGTAAGGACTAGAGCGGATCATCATTTTCCAAGACAGATGTTATCTAGGGTGGTAAAGTCATTTCTCCCTCCCCTTTAATCCGGTATTTTAGGGCTGAAATGGGGGAGATGGGAACATTTTTCTCACGACTCATTGTCAACATGAGATCCAGATCAAGGGGTTACGCCCCTGGTTTCTCTCCTTGCACGCCCCTCTGGCCAGTTTTCCTACTTAACTCAAGGCCACGTGGAAGGCTGGTCAGCAGCCCACTGGCTGCCGGATGCTAGTGATGGAAGGGGGAGACGAGGAGGCCGAACTCTCACCGTACTTGCAGTCCGGGGGCCCATCATCCTGGTCACTCGCCAGGTCGTTCCTCTGCTCCAGAATGTGCTCCAGGGCCACCTGAAGCTTCCTGGGGAGGATGGAATCCTCATCATCCATCTGTAAAGCAGAGAGAGCAGGTGGGCCGGAGTCCCAGGGCCCTTGGGGATGGGAACCATGTCCCGGCCCGCAGCTCACCTGGCACAGTTTTGGGGTTAGTGGAAGAAACATGATTTGGAGACAGAGATCCGAGGTTTGAATTGTGATTCCATGTTTGTTTCTTTTTAAGGTTCTATTTATTTATATACACCCCACAGGAGGCTCAAACTCCCAACCCCGAGATTGAGAATCCCATACTCTTCAGACTGAGCCAGCCAGGCGCCCCTCTTGATTCCACTTTTTACAACCAATATGAGCCTCAGTTTCCCCACTTGTAAAATGGGTACCAATCAATATCTACCTCATCGTGAAGATTAAAAGGGATAGAGAAGACACTGATGAAAGAATTTGAAAAAGCTATAAATAAAGGGAAAGATAGTCTGTGTTCATGGATAGGAAAAATTAACTGTTAAAATGTCTATTTTACCCAAAGCCATCTATAGATTCAGTGCAATCCCCACCAAAACTGTAATGGCATTTTTTTTTTTTAAGATTTTATTTATTTGTCAGAGAGAGAGAGAGAAAGAGCGAGCGAGCACAAGCAGGGGGAGCAGCAGGGGGAGACTGAGAAGCAGGCTCCAGGACCCTGAGCTCATGACCTGAGCCAAAGCTCAACCCACTGAGCCCCCCAGGTACCCCTGTAATGGCACTTTTTATAGAAATAGAAAGAACAATTCTAAAATTCACACGGAACCACAAAAGACACTGAAAAGCCAAAGCAATCCTGAGAAAGAACAAAGCTGGAGGCCTCACAATTCCTGATTTCAAGCTTTATTAACAAAACTACAGCAATCAAAACAGTCTGGTAGTGCCATGAAAACAGACACACAGACTAAAGGAACAGAATCAAGAGCCCAGAAATCAACCCGTGCATACACGGTCAGCTAATATCTGACAAGGGAGCTAGGAATTCAATGGTGGAAATGATGGGTCTTTTCAATGAACGGTGCCAGGAAATTCATGCAAAGACATGACCCCGGACCCCTATCTTACACCACTCAAAAAAATTAACAGGAAATGAATTAAAGGTTTAAATTAAAGATTAAAGATAAGATCCGAAACTAAAGGTACTAGAAATAAACAGGGAAAAAGCTCCTTGACATTGGTCTTGGCAATGCTGTTTGGACAGGACACCAAAAGCTACAAGCAACAAGGGCAAAAACGAGCAAGGATTCCGTCACACTAAAAAGCTTCTGCCCGTGAAAGAAATGGTCAGCACTAGACATACTGTGGGTGGGAACGTGAATCAGCGCTGTGCTGTGGCAAACAGCACGGAAGGTCCTCAAACACTCACAAATAGAACTATCATGACTCAGTACTCCCACTTCTGGGTGTGTATCTGAAGGAAATGAAATCACCATCATTTTTTTTTTTTTTAATTAGAGAAAGAGAGCGTATGCGTGAGTGGGGCAGGGGCAGAAGCAGAGGGAGAGAGAGAATCTGAAGCAGGCTCCATGCCCAGCACGGAGCCTGATGCAGGGCTTTGTCTCATGACCCTGAGATCAGGACCTGAGCCGAAATCAAGAGTTGGACACCTGACCATCTGAGCCACCCAGGCGCCCCTGAAATCCCATCTGTACCCCATGAACATCGCAGTCCTATTCACAAAGGCCAAGAAATGTAAACAACCTAAGTGTTCATTCATGGGCGAACGAATAAAGAAAATAAGATTGTGTGTGTGTGTGTGTGTGTGTGTACACAATGGAATGTATATACACAGATACACGCATATAATGGAATATTAGTTATAAAAAAGAAGGAAATCCTGTCTTTTGTGACCACATGGATGGACCTTGAGAGCATCAGGCTTAGTGAAATAAGTCAGAGAAAGACAAAAACTGCATGTTCGCACTTATATGTGAAATCTAAAAAAAGCTGGAGCCACACAATTAGAGTAGAATGGTGGTTGCCAGGAGCCGGGGGTGGGGGAAATGGGCAAGCGTGGTCCAAGGGTACAAAGTTCAGGTTATAAGCTCAATAGTTCTGGGGATCTAATGCATAGCATGGTGACTATAGTTAACTATAATCTACTGGATATCTGAAAGTTGTTAAAAGAGTAGGTCTCAAATGCTATCAGCACACACACAAAAAAGATAATTGATTATCTGAGGGGATAGTGCATAGGTGGCTCAATGGGTTAAGCCTCTGCCTTCAGCTCAGGTCATGATCTCAGGGTCCTGGGATTGGCCCCCTGCATTGGGCTCTCTGCTCAGCAGGGAGCCTTCTCCCCACCTCGCCACCCGCCTGCCTCTCTGCCTACTTGTGATCTCTCTGTCAAATAAACAAAAAATCTTAAAAAAAAAAAGTGTCAACTCATCTTTTTTTTATTTAATTTTTTCTTTAAAGATTTTGTTTATTTATTTGACAGAGAGAGAGAAAGTGCACAGGCAGTTCTAGTGTCAGGCAGAGGCAGAGGGAGCAGCAGATTTCCTGCTGAGCAGGGAGCCGGATGCGGGACTCCATGGATCCTGGGACTCCAGGATCATGACCTGAGTCAAAGGCAGTCACTTAACCAACTGAGCCACCCATATATACAGATTTTTAACTGCGCAGGAAGTGGGCACCTCTAACCCGTGTTGTTTAATGGCCAACTGTGTTTCTTTCTCTTTTTCTCTCCTTTTCATTAAAAGAAAAAAAAAAAAAGGCACTTGGGTGGTTCAGATGGTTAAACATCTGTCTTTGGCTCAGGTCATGATCCCAGGGTCCTGGGATCAAGCCCTGCATCAGCCTCCCTGCTTCGTGGAGAGCCTACTTCTCCCTCTCCTTCTACTGTTCCCCCTGTTTATGCTCTCGCTCTCTCTGTCCAATAAATAAATAAAATCTTTAACCCCCCCCAAAAAAAAGAGATCAGGACAATATATATTGTATATAATCTTGTGTCCTGATTTTTTCCACTTAATATTATATCATGGACTTAAACAGTTATTGCTTGAAAACATTTTGAAAAGAACAAGTGTCTGTAGTTACAACCTATACAGACCTTCTAAATGTTAGAAAACCATTCTGTGATAAGACACACAAGACTCAGTGCTTTGCCAAACCCTTGCTCTTTTGGCCCTGCCCTCTGTGTATTTCCAGTCCAGCCCTGGCCAGGGATCGCCCAAGCCCGCCAGCCTGCTTTACAATCCCAGGCCCACCAAAGAGCCTTTCCAGACCTGGAAAGCCTTGTGCCCAGCAACAGAGATGCAACAGAGCAGCGGGCTGAAGCTGGCCTTCTTACTCACCTGTCTGAGGAACCGATTGTTGACGAGGTCGACCACAAGGACCTGCAAGATGGGGAAAAGGGACGATTACTGTCCCCGGGGTGTAGTGACACTCTTAGCCTTCCTCCTTCTTGGCATCCAGACAGGCAGCTGGGGTGGGGGGATGGAGTGGCCCATATGTGGTTTCCTGACGTTGCCACTATAGCCACAAATGATGTAGAGGGGGAAGGGGATGGGGAAGGGTTTTCCAGAACTGCTTGCTTTCAACACTGAAGCCACAGGCTGGGACATGTGTATGCTACAGACTGGACTTCCTGCCCTGTTCAGAGACTGGGTGAGGCAGTGCCTCTGGGACAGACTTGTAGTGTGTGGGTTACTGATGTGGGCAAAAGATGCTGGAGGAACCCCACTGTTCCCATTCCATCAAGTCTGCACTCCCCACTCCCAGGGCTCTCTCTCCTCCCAGCTACCCATTTGGCCTTGTCATTTCTCTTAATGGGACAGGAGGAGAGAGATCCGGAGGAGCGGATCCACCTGGAGAGTAAGTCAAGCTGCAAGTACTGGGCTTTCATCAAAGGTTCTCGGATAAGCACCCTCCCCTTTCCTCCTCAGAGCGGGGCTGAGACCCAGGGCCGTGTAGGGTAGGGCAAGCACGTTGCCTAGGGCACATGGTCAGGAAAATGCTGGGTCTCTGCCTGCATGACCCCAGCCAGCGTGGGCCACTGGCTATGATGGAGGGAGAGCATGGGTCCGGAAGGCCACCACGTTTTTACCAACAGCTGGCAACACAGGCTCTAATACATCCCAGAGACCCTACCCAGGAGCTGAGGGTGTCTCTCCTTCCTTCTCAAGCACATCTGGGGTCGAACTTTCAGGGATCACAGGGTACCCAGACAAACTGTGTGGTTCAAAAACCTATGCTCAAAGACCTGTGTGTGCTGGTGATTACTCGTGGGACTTCAGGCCTCCCTGGGCAACCAGAGGAGCCACATCTGGGGGCCTGGGATGAATTTCAGCAACAGGCGTTCCCCTGGGGGTTCAGAAGTGAGTGGCATCATTTAGGCACCTACGGTTCCCTCGCTGACTGCGGGGAGCAATCCGTACATGAGACAGAGATTATTTAGAGGAAGGGCCTGGGGCTAAAGACCCACCGGAATGCGAGGAGGACTTTCCCTACTTGGGGGCAAACGTGAAAACCCAGAAGTGGATCCTTAAAAACATTTTGGTGGTTGTCTTTTTTAACTGATGTGATAAAGGACCTGTGTGTAGGAGCTCAGTGTTGGTCTGCTTTGTTTTTAGTCCAGATATAAACTCCAGCTCTTGTTAGCTGCTCTGTGCTTTCTTCCTCCGTGCTGGGGAGAGGGAGGGAGGGAAGGATAGGGTGGACGGCTACTTCTGGATCCAGTGTTTCAACATCTGGCTAAGTTGCAGGTCACTGCCCTTCAGGTCAGCGCGTTCATTTAGAGAAAACTGAGTTTTCAGTCCCTGAGGGTCTATTGAGGCAGACATGGGGGGCGTAGCTAATAAAACTGTGGGCCCCCCCACCCCCTGACATTACACTCTTGCAATGCCTTATCCAGCCCCTCCCCTCTGCCCTCTGGCCCCCACGGGGAGGGAACAGGGACGTCTCCAGTGCTCACCTCTTCCAGCGGCAGCTCCCGGAGCAGCGGCAGCGAGCTGGTGAGCAGGCCGATGAGGAAGGGGGTCGGCGAGCACACGATGTCGATCATGGCGGGCGGCAGCACGGGGATGTAGGTGTGCTGCCAGGTGAAGGGGTAGATGACGGCCACCATGGCGTGGCAGCACTTGGACAGCGTGCTGTGGCGGAGAGAAGGGGAGAAGGGGCAGCTTCAGGGAAAGCTCTGGACTGGGCGTGCTCAGGCTCATGGGGTGGGGGCAGCCTCCGTGGAGGAGGATGGAGAGAAATGCACACCCTCCATCCTGAAGACAGGCTGGTCAGAAAAGGCAGCACGCACGTATCAGGTACAGCGTGTACCACAGTCCTAACAGACCAACCGGGCACGTGGGGCCTGGCTGAGGCTTTGAGACAGCGAGAAGGATGAATTCAATGCCTCAGCTACCTTTCCCCAGCGGGCCTTCACCTGCGAACCACATTCTCTACAGTCTTGACCCAACCATTCACTTCCATCTCTCTTCCCCAAACCCTTCCAAATCAGTGAAAGCCTCTTTTCTCACGGATGCTCATGAATGCTCACGAATTTCTCTTATTGAAGATGATTTTATAGTCTAAACTAGCTTTCTCTTTGTTCTCTTCCACACACTGGCTCAGTCAAGCCGAACACCGAGGTGCAATCAAGTGAAACAGGGTAGCGCCGGCCGCCGGCATTCCTGCAGCAGCAGTGAGCTCCCAGGCTCTGCTGTGGACCTCAAACTCGGGTACAGTTACCGCTTACTCAGAATTCAGAACGTAAAAAAAAAATCACAGCACTGAGAGTCTCCCTTAAAGAATCATGATCATGCTACAGCCTTTATCAGCAAGCCCTGACTGATCACAGTCCCCAGTGTTCTGTGCGCAGAGACTGACCTCCTGCGGGGACGAATGGGGGTTGGGGTTACCCCGGACTGTCATCTGGAACATCAGCCCCACCCTGCCGCAGAGAGGATGCCCGGCAGCCTCCCAAGGTGAGCAAGAGCCAGATTTCTTTCCTTCCCTGCAGTTTCTTGTTGCTGGTGAGTCCGCTCAGGGTGGACCCTCTCGGCTCTCATTCTAGTACGCTATTTCTTTTTTTAAAGATTTTATTTATTTACTTGATAGAGAGAGAGAGATCACAAGTAGGCAGAGAGGCAGGCAGAGAGAGAGGAAGGGAAGTAGGCTCCCCACTGAGCAGAGAGCCCCATGCGGGGCTCAATCTCAGGACTCTGAGATCATGACCTGGTCAAAGGCAGAGGCTTTAACCCACTGAGCCACCCAGGCGCCCCTCTAGTACACTATTTCTAAAATGCCACGGGATTTGAACTTCAGAGGCTTGTTAGAAATATGTAATGTAAGAATCAAAGTGAGGGCCTGTGGTTTCTCCCAGGAATGCACCGCACCCTCCTAGGGGTACAGACCCTGTAATGAGCATTTTCTCTGTTAGGTCACCTTCTGAATGTCTGCCCCAGTTCTCAGCTTTGCTCTGTTAGGCACAGTTGCAAGGAAGCCGAGTTCTCGATAGATGAACACTCCCTTACTGGATTCCCATTGACATCAGGCACCTATACAGGCCTACTTTGGAGTTCTGTGCCAGGCCACCACAATCAAGCAAATATCTCAATAAAGGCAATCAACTGAGTTTTTTGTTTCCCAGTGCATATAAAAATTATGTGTTTTTTTTTAAGATTTTATTTATTTGTTTGACAGAGTAACATAGTGAGAGAGGGAACATAAGCAGGCTTCCCACCAATCAGGGAGCCCGATTCAGGGCTCAATCCCAGGACCCTGGGATCATGACCTGAGGGAAGGCAGACACTTAACCAACTGAGCCACCCAGGTGCCCCCAAAATTATGTTTATACTATACTGGATGCAAGTGTGCAATAGTGTTATATCTAAAAAAACAGTGTATGTGCCTTAATTTAAAAGTAGTTTATTGCTAAAAAATGCTAACCATCGGGGTGCCTGGGTGGCTCAGGTCATGATCCTAGCACCCTGGGAGTCCTGGGATCGAGCCCCATATCAGGCTGCCTGCTCAGCGGGGAGTTTGCTTCTCTCTCTCCAGCTTCCCCAGTCCTGGGTTCCCTCTCTCGCTATCTCTCTGTCATAAATAAGTAAAATCTTAAAAAAAAAATGCTAACCATCATCTGAGCTTCCAGTGAATCATAATCATCAGTCACAGATAACCATAATATAATAATGAAAAATACTGTGAGACATTACCAAAATGCGACACAGAGCCACGACGTGAGCAAGTGCTGGTGGAAAAACAGTGCTGATGAACTTGGCTGATGCGGGGTTGCCACGAACCCTCAGTTTGTAAAACAAAACCCAAAACCCTGCAGTATCTGCAACATGGAACAGACTGAGGTTGGCCTGCAACCTCATTGTCATAAAACTCTCCTGAGCCCATTTTAACAGAATCACCTAGCTCTGGCTTCCTTAGAGAGAGAGAAGTGAACTAAAAGATATTGGCCAGCAAGTGAAATAAGCCAGACAGAAAAAGGCAAATACTGGATTATTCCACTTACAAGTGAGGGGCTTAGAACAGGCAAATTCAGAGAGACCAAGGGCTTGGGGAGGCAGAGCGGGGAGCTGTTGCCTAGAGTGGACAGACATTCAGTTCGAGATGATGAAAAAGTTATGGAAATGGATAGTGCTGACGGTTGCAAGCACTGTGAATGTTCTTAATGCTGCCCCTGAATTGTGTACTTAAAAATGATTGTAATAGTGAACTTTAAGTTCTGTATATTTTATCACAATTTAAAAAAAAAAGCCAAGGGCGCCTGGGTGGCTCAGTGTTAACCCGTCTGCCTTCGGCTCTGGTCATGATCTCAGGGTCCTGGGATCGAGCTCCGCATCGGGCTCTCTGCTCAGCGGGGAGCCTGCTTCCCTCTCTCTCTCTTCCTGCCTCTCTGTCTACTTGTGATCTTTCTCTGTCAAGTAAATAAATAAAATCTTAAAAAAATAAAATAAAATTTAAAAAAAGCCAAGATAAAAATCACTTACCTGCTAAAGGAGGTCCTCTGAATATGGCACTCCCTGAATATCCTTACAATATATACTAGCCCCTTTCCATCCACCTGCATCTGGGGCCCCCTGAACCAAACAAAAGTAATGCTGAATCTGTTCATTTATCAGCAAGAGCCTCTTGACCTTCCTGTTTGGTGTCTTTGCAAATAATCACTCTCTGAACACTCCGTGGAGTCCTGCCATGCTTCTTAGGAGCATGGCACACACATGTTGCACTATTTGGTCCTAGTCTTTTTGGGATTTAGTCATTTTGGGATCACCCCCAAAATGAGAAAGATGTTACCCCAAGATTTTATCATAATACCCATAATATCTTCTCATAAAAGGGAAGTATACAAGGCATCTAATACCTTCTTTATGATACCTATAATACCTTCCTTATACCTACTGAGTAATAGCGAGACAATACTTAAGTTAGGACTTATCCCAGGGGGAACAGCAGCAGTAATTCAGCTGGCAGGTTGGTGACTTTTCAAAGAATCTCCTCTCAAAGCAGAGAACCATTTTCCCTCAGGCATCCCTTTCTATCTCAGATACTCAGGAATGTAAATACTGTTAGTGAGTTGCTCACCCTTTGTGTTTAACTTCCTTGATCACTGAACGTGTGGAATTTACTTTGTTCTAAAATTTTTAAATTTTAGGACTAACCTATGTCAGCGTGGGACCAGTCTGCAAAGTTGATCTGCTCACGTACTGCAGTTATGAGGACACAAGTCAGAAAACCAGGATATTGAAATATAAATGACGATAGCTGGGCCTAGAGCAGGTTTCTTTTCAGACTACAGTTTGCAGCCCATCACTGGGTCCTGAAATAATTTTAGTGGGCTGTGATCAGCCTTAGAGACAACAAAAAGAACAGACTAGAAGAGAGAGTGCTGCATTCTGTTCCGGTCGTAAATAATGATTTGTGTGTCGTGTGTGGTGTATGCGTTGGGTCTGAAGGTGAATAGCATTGCTCGTTAGGGCCTGGAATGAAAAGGGTCTCCAGCCGACCAGGACCAGAGAACTGGAGGCTGGAGGCTAGAGGCAGGTAGACAGTGATGGTTCAGAGGGAATTCTGGTAGGTTCCATGTTTTCCTGGGATGTTGGCTTTCATTCCCAAATGACTAGATGGACCTTAAAGGAGACAGTGAGAATCCTCTGAAAGAAGCCTCGTGTATGAAACCCATCTCTTTGTACAGCCCATTTGTCCTGAACATGTCCAAGCCCTGAACGTGCGTTGGAGGAAGAATGGCTCCTGTGGGCCGTGGCCGTGGCAGTGGCTCTGAAGCTTTCCACTTCCATCTGCTCGCCGGCAGAGAATAAAAACGCGGTGCTCGCGCTGAAGAGTTCCTTCACATTTTCAGAGTTGTGGTTTAAGCACTTTTGACCCCACGGGGGTTACAGAACCACAGAATTTTAGAACCTGGAGCCTCTCAGAGATGGAGTTCATCTTCTTTTGAATCTTTTTTTTTTTTTGGGTGGGGTGGGGTGGGGTAATCTTTACACCCAAGCTGGGGCTTGAACTCACAATGCTGTGATCAAGAGTCGCAGGCTCTACCGACTGAACTGGCCAGTGCCCCTTCCTCTGAATTTTAAGAGCTAAAGAGACCTAGGCCGAGGCTGGCCTCCGCATGCAGGGTGGGCAGTGACGCGCTTGGAGGAGGGGAAGAGACACAGAGTGAGGAACGGAGGCCTCAATCACTGCAGTAGAAAAATAAATGTGTTTTTGTTTTTTTTTTCCAACTTAAAGAAAAGAACTTCTGCTCTTTTGCTTTCTTGCTGCCGCATCCCTGGAATGAGAAAGTGTAATCCGCTGCTGGGTTCTCTGGCTGCTTGGACATCCTGTGGCTCCTAGGGGAAGCCTAAGGGGCCCTGCGGCGCTGGCTACCCCCTCCCCCACAACGTTTGGCTGCGGCTGGACGAGGAAGGCAGTTGGAATGGTTCAGGAAAAATGATAAGCAATGCCAGTGCTAGCCAGATACACACAGTGGGCGAATGAATGTTCTGGAGAGCAAGATCAAATTCATTCACGCTCCTGGAATGCACGGAGCTGAAGGACAGCTGCATTCAATTTTGATGGGGACCAATGACGACAACTCAGCCAGATACTATGTAGGTAGGTGCTGCCCGCTGCTCTCCTAACAAGTGGC